GTGTGCATGTGTGGGATATTCACACGTTTGTATGTGTGGAATATGCATGTGTGTCCCTGTAGAATAGCTCTTAACAAACTATGGCAAGCTAAATTTTGTTAGACAAATGAGTAAAAGGAGCCTTGTGGAATTGCTGGGACCGCAGGGCTAATCATGGTAAATGCACAAGCAGGGCGGGCACCACACAGCTCTGCGCGGATGCAAAGTGGGTAAATGGGCAAAAAATGAGAAGCAGTGAATGCCTTCTCAGACCGGCTGTGGAGGCAGATGTCCCAAAGCTGTGGTGAGTCCACCTGGTTAGGCAAGGGACCCTGCCCTTCGGGAATGGCGTCTGCCGCCTGGGTGAAACCCAGGTCCTGTGAAAAGCCTGATTCCACTTCTGACACCAGATATTGCAGTTTAATAAAGATCAGGATAAACAAATAGGCCGAATAGATGTTTATTCAGGGAGAAATAACTTACAACCTAGACAGATGAACACCTGCAAGTTCCACCGGATGCTCTCCTTTCCACGACCATTCCCCAGCTCCTCCTCAGACTTCCTTCCACAGGTCACTTCCTCCCCTAGCTCCACCCCAATGGGCGTGGTCAGTGCCACAGAAGGAGACAAAGTGAATATCCCACTACAGTTTGTGTGTTTGTGGGGGATATTCACATGTTTGTATATGTGGAATATGCATGTGTGTATGTTTGTAAATACACCTTCCTTTATGGATTTGTTCCCCCCCTTTTTTTGTGGTGCAGCAAGTTTGTGAATCTAAAGATCGCTGCCTCTACTAACTCTGAAAAAAACCAAAAACCAAAACAAAACACCCACAGCTTTCCAATTTGGATAAAATGAGCCCAGAGGAGAACACGTGGCTCCTGCAGCTGGGATTCAGGAAGCATTCCCAGGGTGGGTGCCCTGAGTGTTAGTTGGCTATCTGCTTATTGATGAATTCATGAGGGAGACGGAGTTCTTGGTTTGGCCTGGTCTTGTCCGTGTACGATTGTTTACTTTATAGTTTGCAGAGTTCCTGGTGAACTCTGTTCTTTTGCACTGCTGGTGCCAATTTTTAGAGAAGGTACATTTGAGGTGCTTATCATTTTGAATGATAGCTCCATTGAGGAATGGTTGTTTGCTATATGACAAGGAAGTCCGTATTTTGCTTGGCAGAGAACGCACTCTTTTCCCTCCTCTGTACAACTGGTTTGCATTTTGGTTTAATCGTTATCTCTACATTTGATGGGTGAAGCTCATTTGGATTCAGCCTGGGTTCTTTGGAATGTAAATTGATATGAGATAAATTATCACTGCTGTCTGTGGCTTAAGTAGCTATGGAGGTGTAACTTGTGTTGTTAGATCAAACTTCATAGGGAACTTTCCTGTTGGGGAGATGGCTCGTTTGGGAAAGGGGCTGCCGTGAAAGATGAGGACCCAGTTTTGGGTCCCCATGTAAAAGCTGGGCAGGGTAGCATGCTGGTATAACCTCAAAACCAGGAGTGTGAAGGCACACAGGTGGATCCATGGAGCTTATTGCAGGGATCAGTATTACCTCAGACCTGCAAAAGACACCCACACACACACTCAGACACACACACTCAGATACACACACTCAGACACACAGACACACACTCAGACACACACACTCAGACACACACATGCACACACACATACACACACACACACACACACACACACGCGTGCGCGCACGGGCGCGCACATACACACCCCACATATATACACAATTGAAAGTATTTTCTGTGTTTTCTGATGTTTTGGTAAGCCTTTTTGGGAACTCAGATAAGGTTCATTTAAGGATCTGTTTACACTGAAGTCTTTTAAATGACTACTGTATAAACTGCCATTTCAAAGCGACCCAGGCACATTTAACACCCAATGCAGCTATGATCACAAGTGTACGCACACATAAAATAATAAAAATAATAGTCAATGAAAAACAGCTTTAAAATGAATGTAGGTCCATACACAAGTTAAGATGCCTGCTGCTAAGCCCAGTGGCCTGAGTTCAATCCCTGGGGCTCACAAGGAGGAAGAGGTACTGGAGAACTGACTCCGGTCTGTTGTCCTCTGACCTGCATACATGAACAATGGTACATGTGCACCCTCACAGGATGAATCCATAAATTGAAAATGTATACAGCTGTATGTCTAAACTTCACATAAACGCTGTATAACAGTTTTAATTTAAAGGCATAGTATACTACAACAATAAAAGCACATGGGAAGTGGCCTCTTTCGTACATACTCATTGTACATCGATGGTCCACATGGAAAATGGAAAGAGAAAAGGTTTTTTTTTAAATCACTGTTATATGTAACCAATATTATTCAGATAAAGCCATGCCTTTGAGAAGTCATTGGCCAAAACCTGCTCTTTGTCTCTTTGTCACGACTGAGTAAGCATTGTGTTACCATATGTATGAGATGTACTTGTACACTAGCAAGTGAGCATTACAGCTCTGTCTTCCACTGATGTGGTCTGAGGGTTGATTTTTGTCTGTGCTGTAGACATATGACCCTGACTGTCAAAGACTCTGAAGATTCTGAATTTTGTTTTAAAAGAGAATATGTATGTGATCATGCACACACACACACACACACACACACACACACACATAGACACACAGAGACACACAGATACATATAACACACACATAGACACAAAACACACACACAGACACACACTGTCCTACACACAGAGACACACACTGTCCTACACACACACACACACACAGACACACACAGACAAACATACAGACACATATATAACACACACAGAGACCTACACACACACACATCTCTCTCTCTCTCTCACACACACACACACTATTTTTTTGTTCTGAGAAAGGGTTTCTTACTCTGTTCTGCATATGGGCTGGAGAGATGCACAGTGGTTAATAGCACATGTTATTTTCACCAGGGACTAGGGTTTAGTTCCCAGAACATACATGATGGCTCACAACCATGTGTATCTTCAGTTCCCTGATATCTAATGCCCTCCTCTGATCTCTGTGGAAACCAGTCACACATGTGATCCATATTTATACATTCAGCAAAACATTCATAGATATAAAGTAAAGCTCAAAAGAGACAGGCAGATCTCTGTGAGTTCAAGGCCAGCCTGGTCTACAGTTGTTAGTTCCTGGACAGCCAGGGCTGTTTCACAGAGAATGAGAACGAGAGAGAGAGAAAGAGACAGAGAGAGAGAGAGAGAGAGAGAGAGAGAGAGAGAGAGAGAGAGGGAGGAGGAGGAGAAGAAGAAGAAGAAGAAGAAAAGGAAGAGAGAGAGGGATTCTTGTCTATTCAAAGGTTGCTAGGATTCCATAACTCATCTGAGTATGAGCCCATACTGGTCTATAGATTGATTTCCAAGACAGACAGGGCTCACAGAGAAACCCTGTCTGTAGAAACAAACAAACAAAATGGAATCTTTTTACCAGACTTTTATTTTTACATGGAAGAAATTTCTTTACTGGCTCCTACTGACCCGGTATAGCATGAAGAAGGAGGATGAGGAGGAGAAGGAGGAAAAGGAGGAGGAGAATGAGGAGAGAAGAAGGAGAAGAAGAAGAAAGAAGAAGAAAAAGATGAAGGAGGAGGAGGAACAAACATATTTGCACAACATGCTGCTTCCAACATTTATGGTGGATATTCGTTATCTTGTAGGGTACCTTCAATCTGCTGCTCTCAGCAAAGGAAGTCATCGGCACAGGCCAGCACACATGCACCATTCTGGGTCAGGAGATGAAAGGGTGTAACTGGAATTTAGTAGAGCCATTGTAAGTGGTGTGAACAACAGAATGAAGCATCTGTGTTTTGGAGGTGCTTAGACCTTGAAGAAATCATTGCAGAAAACAGTGACTGTTTTCTGTGAGTTTTAGAGTTGTTTTTCTGAAGGACCTTTACAGCCTTTGCATGACTTCAGTCACAAGACGTTCTTGGAAAACCAGGAAGTCTTGCATTATTGAATACAGCAAACAGTGCACAGTAAGGGCTGAGACTGCAAAGCTGATGTGTTCCTTGAAGAAACACAGAGATTAGATCAGTGGCTCTTGTGTGAGGAACTTGGCTTGCTGTAAAATCAGCTTTTGTGTAACAGTCAGTTCTCCAACTTTCCTTTTTTCTAAGTCTGTCTCATCAGGAGGAGGAGGAAGAAAAAGTAACTCTTCCCTATCATCCTGGCCCTCCTCTCCTTCATCTTCCTCTGGAAAAACACTCACCTCTTCTGATGGACAATTCCTAACCTGGACGTCTTCTTTCTTGTTTCCAATACTGTATCTGACCTAGTCTTTTAAAGCTATTTGTTCAGGTTAGGTTGTAAACCTTGATTACATGGGAGTCCTAGGTACAGTAAGGTTGGTTACATTGTTTTATGAAAGTCAAGATAAATTTAAACAAGTTTAGTAAACATTAGGAAAGCATAGTGAGTACATAGTTTGAAATGGTTGCAAAGCATATGAATATCTTGGTTACAAGGCTGGACAAACATTTAGTTTCTGAAAACCAGCTGACAAGGCATTTCCACAAATCATTCCCACAACTGCTATGGCTCAATGGCATCAGGGTATAAAGGGACAACCCAAGGGGCTCAGAACATACAGCACAGGTAAGGAAGGAGCAGCAACCCAGCTTGGTGCAGGAGGAGAGGACAGAGAGTGAACGGGAGGATGGGTTCAGCCAGCTAGAGACTGAACCATGGAGGATTGATGGAAGGATTTGAAATATGGGGTTTCTTCAGGAGCAGTGTTAGACTTTGGGGAACTCAATGTAATATGACATCATGGGATCTCTGGCTAAGAGCTTAGTAAGGATGCGAGGACAGTGATTTTGTGAGGGGTCACAGTGTGGCCATGTGGGTGAAACCATCCCTTGCTCTTCTGAAGCCTTTTGAGCCTATGGGAAAAGAGGACTCCCAAATGTTCCCTTGTCTCAAACTGGGGTGTGGGGTCTCTTTAATCTGATGTGTTTTCCGTAGCCCCCTTTTTTGAAATCTTGACCTTGACCTGTGTTTTCTAAGCCTCAAACCCTCAGGGAGCCATGCTGCTGTTGCTGACTTTGGCTTTCCTTGCTGGTCCTACCTGCAGAGCCCAAGGTGAGTACCTGAACCTCCTCTGAGGCATAAGGGCCTCTGAGTGAGGGAGTGGACCTGAGTGTTATTCTGTCTCATTTTCTCCAGAGATATGGGGCAATAATGCCGGTACCTATTTCTCCATTCGTGGTGAAGAACAGGGAGAAATCAAGGCAATCAAGATCTATTTAACGATACTGAAACACATCATGGGGTGAGTAGGGCCTGGAACTGGGCTCCCACAGCTCTCCCTCTTGTTCCTGCCCCTTGGCTTGCCTAGAACCCTGACCCGAGCAAGCCTACTCAGAGCTGGAATTCTCAGGCTTGGGTAAGACTGGGCAATCCTCCAGGAGGCAGGTGGAGAGGGACCTCCAACTTTCTGGTTCAGAGAGGGTTACAGAGACTGAAGGGTCCCTCTTCCACATAGTTCATTCAGGTGGCCCCAGAGCTCCTTGGTAGTGACAGAAACTGCTTATGTGGTCTGACAGACGTCCCTGTCTTCAGGACATGAAATGTGCAGTTCACTCTGTGCTCTGCTCCAGAAAGGCTAGCTAATCCTAGCACAGGCCAGATCTTGACTGTCCTCACCAGTATGTGCCTCAGGTGATCTGTTGTTCTCCTAGAGTGCCTCAAAGGCCTTGTGCTACTGTTGCCAAGCTTGGTAAATGCAAGCACAGTCTCTGAGGTTAATAGAATTTCAGATGAACAATGGATAGTCTTTTAGCAAGTCTCCTGTGCAATGTTGAGGTTATCTTAACGCTGAAGCATTTGTTGTTGGGTGATGGAGAGAAAGTTGGGCAGATAAAGTGTTTGCTGTGCAAGTATGTGGCCCTAAGTTTGGGTCCCCAGAACACATGTGCAAGTTAAGAGCAGCAGCACTTGCAACACAGACAGACAGCACACACAGACTTGTGTAACACACACACACACACACACACACACACACACACACACACACACAGCCAGGAAGACACCCATCATCTACCTTTGGCCTCCACAACACAGATAAACAGACATGTATATTCCACCTACACATACAATTCAAAATTGACAACCTATTTATACTTTGCCTCTACTTTTGTGGTACTGGGGGGGCAGTGAACTCAAGTCATACCACTTGTGTGTCATCTATAACCATCAATTTCATGAGACATGATCTCCCTATGTATCCCAGGCTGGACTTAAGTCCTTGTACCTCATCCTCACTACTGCTGGAGAGTATACATCTATACTTTTTAAATGTAATATTGGAGCCTGGCCTGGTGGTACAGTCCTGTAGTGTCAGCTTCCTAGGATGCTAATGCTAGAGAATATCTAATGTGAGGCCAGTTTGTGCTACAGAGCCACCTCAGGATCAACCTGAACAACACAGCAAACCCTGTCTCAGAAGAGAAAGCAGAGAGGATTGGAGCCCAGCATGGGGCTCATGTCAAAAAATGTCAGAACTCAGGATGCTGAGGCTGGAGGATTTCCATCACGAAGAAGTGCAAGGAACTCCTGTCTACACAGTGAGATCCTGTATCAAATAAAATAAAAAAGATAAAAATAATGGGTGAAGGAAGTATTGGTAATATAACTTAGTGGCTTGCCCAGTTTATGTATGACCCTAAGTTCAGTCTCCAGTGCCACAAAAGAAGTAAAGGCTGGCAAGATGGCTCTGGCAGGAATAGATGCTTACTAGCCAAATTGACTTTAGTTTGGAACTCACATAGTGGGAGGGGAGAACAAAATCCCAGTGGTTCTCCTCTCCCCTCCACTAAGTCCTTGACTCATGTGGTCCTACATAGATAGACATACACAAATACATACAGGCACACATATGTACAAAATAAATAATAAATCAATGTCCAAAAGTAAGTAAATAAACCATGCAACACAAAATACACTTACCTTGAAAATTACTCATGAGTATCTGAAATTCTAATTGAATCTGATATATTTCCTGCGTGTTATATAGAGTCTCATTTGGTATGCATCTTATCTTGGAAGAGAAGGAGAAAGCTGGCATTGGCAATAGTCTAGAAGACTTGGGCACATCTTTCTTCTTTGCTTGGTATAACAGCTTCCAAGGCCCTCCCATTCCTGCCTGACAACACACAGAAATTAGACCCTGTCTCTCTGGTCTCTGCCTGTAAGGTCAATCTCTGGTCTACTGACCTTAGCAGAGGGGTTCTCTGTGTGACCGCTGCCTCATTTGGGGCAGACAGGAGAGGAGGCTCCAGAGGGGAAGCTGTGAGTTGGGCAGACCTGCCCTGCAAAAGATTCAACCTCAGAATGGGCTGCAGTAGTAGTGCTAGCCTCCATGGCACAATTGCATGGCCTGAATCAGACCTGTGAGGAGGGATGTATCTGGAAGAGGCAGAAGGAGGAAGGACTCCAGGCTGCCTTATCAGAATAGACACTTCTGGAGACTGAACTGTCTCCAGAGACAGAGAGAGAACAGGCATTGCTGAGGTTGCACTGACTTGATTTCTCTCCAGCATTCAGCTGCAGTTTGGCAAACACTGGAGTAGTGTCTATGGATCCCCTACAGCAAATCATAAAGAGTTGCGTCTGGAGGATGGAGAGCATATAATAAAGGTGCGTGGCAAAGTGGGTTTATGCCTGAATTCCCTGACCTTCATTACCAACAAGGGAAATCAGGTTCTCTTTGGTGATAACAATGGCCGTTCATTTGAAGACAGTGGAGGCCCAGACAAGCATCTAGTGACTATCAATGGCATGTTATCAAAAGGCCTCTGCATCGTAGGGATAGGCTTTGATTGGAGACATGCCTCAGAAAATGGAGTCTCCACAAAGCCTCAGACAGAACCAGTTACCATCCCTAACACTTCCAAAGAGAAGACAGAAAGCAGAGATAAAGACAAGAACAATGGTGATGGAGGCAATGACAAAGATGACGACGACGACGATGATGACGATGACAGCAACGTTCGTAAGAACAAAAACAGCAATGATGATGACGATGATGAGGAGGAAGATGAGTAAAAGCCGTAGACTGCTCAGATCTCAGTCCTGCATCCCCACATTCCACCACCTCCTCTCAGCCAAGCTTATCCCTCTGGAGGGGCCAGTATACTAGGTGAACCTGGGCAGGAGGAGGCAAAACCCAAATGGCCCTGTATCTCTGTGTCCAATAAACTTTGTGCATCTATGTGAGCCTGAGTATTCCTTGTCACCAAATGGGATGGGGTTGAAGTCCCACAAAGTCTCTTTTACCTCCCCACTTTTTGAACCTTCACCCATGCACTGAGTTAGGGTTTGCACAGAAAGACTCTTGGTCAACTCAGCAGGACTGAGGTCTCCAGAATGAGGGCAGCATCTAGCACTGTCTGTGTCAAAGCTGCTCTGGGCCTGCAAGGAGAGTGCAGTGTATGCTGACCAAGCTGGCAGGGACTGGCTTTGCAGTGGTCCCATTTAACTGTATTTGAGCGGGTGTCATTACCTCCTGTTCCTCTCCAGATCCTCCCATTCTTCAGATCCTCCCTTGTCCTGTCCTGGTCACTATCCTCCCTTACAAAGCTAGGCTGCCTATGTAATCAGTAAGTTGTTATCATTTGCATATGAGGAGCACCTGGAGTTCATCAGCATTACAGACAAGCAGACAGCACTGTGCCCCTCTCTACCTAGCTGGTGGCAAGTCTGTTGGAAAGTTACAGGCAGCCCAATATGTGACTGAGCCCAGGGTCAGAAAAGGGACCATTTCAAGCCCCAAGTTATTCATCAGACAAGGCTCTGCCTGCATCCTAAACCTAGGGCAGGGAATTAGGAATGGGGCAAGAACTAACCAATGGGAGAAGAGGACAGGCGTCTCTCAAGATTGGAGGACTTTAAGAACATTGTCCAACACTCAGGAGGCAGATGCAGGTGGATCTCTGAGTTTGAAGCCACCCTGGTCTATAGAGTGAGTTCCAAGACAAGCTCCAAAGCTACACAGAGAAACTGTCTCAAAAACAAAACAAAAGAAGAAAAAAAGAATTATTGTCCTTGTAGGCAGGACAAAGGTTTTGTGGCTGTATTGGTGTCCCAGGCCCACCACTGAAAGTCTTGCCTGGCTACAGAAGATGGCCTGTTCAGGCTCCATATCCCCCATTACTAGGAGTCTTTGCTAGGGTCACCCTTGTAGATCCCAGGGAGTTTTCAGTGTACTAGGTTTCCATATACCATAGCCCCCTAACTCCAGTCGTCTTTCCATGTAGTCTCTCCCTCTACCCCACACCTGGCTTGACCCCTCCTGTTCCCATTACCACCAGCCCCCAGTCCACCTATAAAATCTATCTATTTCCAACTCCCAGGGAGATCCATATGTCCCAACTTGAGCCCTTCTTGTAACTTAACCTCCCTAGATCTGTGATTGCAGCATGGGTATTTTTTACAGCTAGTATCTACTTGTAAGTGAGTATGTACCATGTTTGTCTTTCTGGGTTTGGGTTACCCTCATTCAGGATGTTTTTTTCTAGTTCCATCCATTTGCCTGAAATTTTCATTATGTCATTTTTTAACAGCTGAGTAATACTCCATTGTATATATGTACCACATTTTCTTAATCCATTTTTCAGTTGAGAGACATCTAGGTTGTTTCCAGTTTCTGGCTATTATTACTAAAGTGACAATGAACATAGTTGAGCAAGTGTCCTTGTGGTAGGATAGAGTGTCCTTTGGGTATATGCCCAGGAGTGGCATAGCTGGGTCTTGAGGTAGATTGATTCCCAGTTTTCTAAGGAACTGCCATATGACTTCCATAGTGGCTGTAAAGTTTCACTCCCACCAGAATGCAAAAGTGTTCCCAGCATGAGCTGTCACTTGTGTTTTTGGTCTTAGTCACTCTAACAGAAGTAAGATGGAAGAACAAAAAAATTTGATTTCTATTTCTTTGATAGCTAAGGATGTTTAACATTTAAGTGTTTCTCAGTCATTTGGCAACCTCATGGAAGAGGGAGAGGAAGGATTGTAGGAGTTAGAGGGGTGGAGGACACCAGGAGAACACAGCCCACAGAATCAACTAAGCAGGCTCACAGGGGCTCACAGAGACTGGAGGGACAGTCATGGACGCTGTGTGGGTCTGAGCTAGGTCTTCTGCCTATGTGTGACATTGTGCAGCTTCTTGGTATTCTCGTGGGACTCCTAACAGTGAGAGTGAGGTGTCTCTGACTCTTTTGCCTGCTCTTGGGACCCTTTTCCTCCTACTGGGTTGCCTTGTCCGGCTTTGATACAGTTTGTACCTCGTCCATTGTAACTTGCTATGCTGATTTTGGTAGGTATTGCCAAGAGGCCTGCTTTTTTCTGAAGGGAAACGGGAGGAGCCGTGGACCTGGGGAGGAGGGGTGATGGTGAGAGGGACTGGGAGGAGTGGAGGGAGGGGAACTGCAGTCAGGACGTAATGTATGAGAGAAGAAGGTTTGGAAAGCTTGACGATATGTATAGAGTTGATCTTACTTCATTAAAATGTACCATGTACCCAGGCAGTGGTGGCACACGCCTTTAATCCAAGCACTCAGGGAGGAAGAGGCAGATGAAGCTCTGTGATTTTGAGGTCAGCCTGATTTATAGAGCCAGTTCCAGAACAGCCAGAGCCACACAGAGAAACCCTGTCTTGAAAAAAAACAAAAAAAAAAAGTAGTACCATGTATTTAATTTGGAGCTAATGCTTATTTATAGAAATAAAATAATAATAGCAATAATAAAAATAGTAACAGATAATTTTTTTTAGGATATGGGTAAAAGATACTTAAGAAAATAAAGATGAATTTTATATGCTAAAATAAGAAATTTTTTTTTCTCCAGAGACTAAAGATGAAAATAAAACTAAGAAAGCTTAAAGCTAAGCTCAGAAGGTCTGAGTGAGTTGTGCAAGGTTTCTGAAACTTGCAAGGATGCTCTCTGTTTATGACAAAATTCCTGAGTTTATACTGGTCCACTTGTGGTAATATTGACAAAGTGTCTTTTCCTTCCTTCCTTCCTTCCTTCCTTTCTTTCTTTCTTTCTTTCTTTCTTTCTTTCTTTTCTGAGAAAAGGTTTCTCTGTGTAGCCCTGGCTGTCCTGGAACTCACTCTGTAGACCATGCTGACCTCAAATTCACAGAGATCTGTCTCTGTGAGTCTGGGATTAAAGGCATGTGCCACCACAGTCCAGCGACAAAGAGTCTTTATCGTTGTTTCTTTTTAATATTTTTAATTAATTTTTATTTAAATTAAGAACAATCTTATTTTACACACTAATCCCAGTTCCCTCTCCCCCTCCCCCCATTTCCCTCACCATCCCCTTCATTCCACCCCCACACATTCCTCAGAGAGGGTGAAGCCTCCCATGGAGAATCATCAAACTCTGTCATATCATTTGAGGCAGGACATGTATCTAGGCTGAGAGAGTGCCCCTCCATAGGAAAAGGGCTCCCAAAGCCCATTCCTGCACTAGGGATAAATACTGGTTCCTCTGCCAGAGGCCAAATAGACTGCCCAAGCCCTCCAACTGACCTCCATGTTTAAAGGGCCTGGTTCAGTTTTAGGCTGGTTCTCCAACAATCAGACTAGGGTCCATGAACTCCCACTTTCTCATTTCAGCTGTTTCTGTGGGTTTCCCTAGCATGGTCTTGACCCCTTTGCTCATCAATCCTCCCTCTCTACAACTGGATCCCAGGAGTTTGGATCAGTGTTTAGTGTGAGTGTCTGCTTCTGTTTCCATCAGCTACTGGATGAAGGCTCTAGGATGGCATTTAAGGTAGTCATCAATCTCTTTTTATGGGAAGGGCATTTAAAGTAGCCTCTCTAATATTGCTTAGATTCTTAGTTGGGGTCATCCTTGTGGATCCCTGGAGATTTTCCTAGTGCCAGATTTCTTGTTAAGCCCATAATGGCTCCCTCCATTAATGTATCTCTTTTCTTCCTCTCCTCCTCTGTTCTTCCCCCAATTTGACCTTCCTTATCCTTCATGTCCCCCTTTCTCCCTCCTCTTTCTCCTACATCCCTTGCCCCTCTCCCTATGCTCCCAATTTACTCAGGAGACCATGTCCCTTTCCCCTTCTGGAGGTCCATGTATGTCTCTCTTAGGGTCTTCCTTGATTCCTATCTTCTCTGGGGTTATGGATTGTAGGCTGGTTATCCTTTGCTCTATGCCTAATATCCACTAAATCCTACAACTGATAAACACCTTCAGTAAAGTGGCAGGATACAAGATTAATTCGAAAACATCAGTAGCCCTCCAATATAGAGATGATAAATGGGCTAAAAAAGAAATTAGAGAAACATCACCTTTCACAATAGCCACAAACAACATAAAACATCCTGGGGTAACTCTAACCAAACAAGTGAAAGACCTGTGTGGCAAGAACTTTAAGTCTTTAAAGAAAGAAATTAAAGGAGATATCAAAAAATGGAAAGATGTCCCATGATCTTGAATAGATAGGATCAACATAGTAAAATTGGAAATCTTACCAAAAGCAATCTACAGATTCAATGTAATCCCTGTCAAAATCCCAGTACAATTCTTCGCAGACCTTGAAAGAACAATACTCAACTTTATATGGAAAAACAAAAAGCCAAGGATAGCCAAAACAACCCTGTACAATAGAGGAACTTCCAGAGGTATCACCATCCCTGACGTCAAGCTCTACTATAGAGCTATAGTAATGAAAACAGCTTGGATTGGCATAAAAATGGACAGGTAGATCAATGAATTGAATTGAAGACCCTGATATCAATCCACACACTTATGAACACTTGATTTTTGACAAAGAAGCTAAACTTGTACAATAGAAAAAAGAAAACATCTTCAACAAATGGTGCTGGCATAACTGGATGCTGACATGTAGAAGACTGCAGATAGATCCATATCTATCTCCATGCACAAAACTTAAGTCCAAATGGATCAAAGACCTCAACATAAATTCATCCACACTGAACCTTTTGGAAGAGAAAGTGGGAGGTACCCTTGAATGAATTGGTACAGGAGACCACTTCCTGAACAAAACACCAGTAGCACAGACACCAAGA